CCCCCCCTGCAATTTCACTGCAGCTCCCAATACTTCAAAAGCTTCAATTTTCTTTTTCTGCCTATATAAGACGTGACACACTTGTACATAGTTTCTTGCACAGAAAACACCAACTCTCTAGTTCTAATAATTTCTCTCCACCAATGGCAACAACAACTGACAGTAGGGCAATCTCCAAACCCTCCAAATGGTTCTCTAACAAAAGTCTCAAGCTCAGCTTCCCTGGTCGAAGATCATCCAAATCTAGCCCTAAATCTCCTCTGTCCCCGACCAGTGCTCCAGTTGGGCCAATCAGTCCAAGATGGACAAGCAGGGAAGATGAGCTTAGAGAAGTTTTTCGCTATTTCGATGGAGATGGCGATGGCAAAATATCAGCCTCCGAGCTCAGAGCCTATTTTGGGTCCATAGGTGAGTACATGTCGCATGAGGAGGCTGAGGCTGTGATCAAAGATCTTGATGCAGATGGAGACAGCCTGTTAGACTTTGAAGACTTTCTGCAGCTGATGAGCAGAGGAGGAGGAGACGACGAGGACTTGAAGAAGGCCTTCGAGATGTTTGAATTGGAGAAGGGGGTCATAACCCCTAGAAGCTTGCAGAGGATGCTGCATAGGCTTGGTGACACCAAGTCATATCATGAGTGTGTCACCATGATTCAAGTTTTTGATACCGACGGCAATGGGGTGGTTGATTTTAATGAGTTTCATCGAATGATGGCTTAACTTAATTAAGTTCATGGTTGATGATTTAATAATGTCTAATTAGTCGTAAATATGTATATGCATGGATGTGTTGTGTGGTTCTATCATGATCTTTCTTTATGGAGTTGGAACATTTCTATATTCATGTTGCAATACTTAAACTTAAATTTGCCATGTTTTTAGTGGTAAGAGTTTGAGTTGAGCACAAACATAATGAGAGCTCAAGCAAAACTGTAAACCGAATCGCGAAGAAACATACACACACTTAAGACACTACATACGTAAACAAAATCACTAATTGAGAGCATGGACCTAGCCTTTATAATCTGAACCCATTAAAAAGTCTATTAGATCCACACTTTGATAAACACGTTAATCCATATTCCTAGGAAAACCACATGAGATAAACTCTAGGGTAGGAAAGATGACTAGTAATATTATATTTAGTTTCAACATATTAAATCTGAAATTCATTAATAAACTTACATGAACAGGACGAAGGTAGTTGTAGAGTTTTCAATGATATTTGCAGACAATGCGTGATGTGGGTTTGCTTTGTTTTCAAGGAAGCTTAAAGCTTTTGTTGCAACATTGATATTGCAAATTTAGGATGAGCATATATTCATCAGATTTGAAGAGCCCCATGATGCCATCTGTAAAATGCTTAAAGCTGAAGCAAAGTTATGAGGACTGAGGAAAAGTAAAGGAAAAGAAAATTGATAGATAAGCTTTATAGACCAGGAAACAGCCTTTAGTTTTCTTTTTGTGACATAATTGTTGAAGATAGCTAGCAGGAAAGTAGAGTCAATCCGTGACAATCATAAACATCACAGTGCACTCAAAACTGTGTGAAATTAAAATTTAAAACCTGGACAGAGAAACCACGGTAAACAAGTTTCTTATTCCTCTAAATCATACCAAATTCGTTTCCATATATATTATCTTCCTCTCTTCTTCTCCTCCTCATAGGCTAATACAATGTTGGTAATTTCAAAGTGGAAGGTGGAGATGCATGCCACAGCACAATTTGAATTAGGTTTATGGCTTAGAAAAGTCAATAAGATTAGTCGTGTCAAAAATCAAGCGGAGGAACTAAATGCTACATATCCTTATTCTACAATTAATATGTCATGCATCATGCATGCTTGTAACAGAAGGATCATCTACTGTTTGAGTTTGATATTAATTATTAGATAAGTATTATAGTATTTAGTCTTAATTGGTTACTTAAGAAAACAATAGGTAGCCAATGAGGTCTAGTCCAGTGGAAAAATGGCTTGACTTGCAGACTAGAAGTCTCAGGTTTGAATCCTTATGATATCTTGGTTGTATGCGTGTATTAGAAATCCTCATTCCTATAGTTTAGACTATCGTTTATGCTATTAAAAAATGTTAAAAAAAGAAGAAGAAGATAATACGTAAAGGTCTCAATTTAAAGTAAACCTACTAGATGATGACCAGTCTACGAACCTTCGCAAATGGTATCCAACATACGTGAGGCACAATTGATGTCAAAATGACTTCATAGGTCGGTTTGAAGTTTTGAAGCAGGCCAAGGGATAAGAACCAAGCCACTATCTAGGTCATTCACCTAAATGGATGTGCATCACTAATTTTCTGTTTATACTCAAAATTTGGAGGGGAAACCCAATGGGACCGAAGATAAACCAACTTCACAAGAAAACAAAACTCAACCCTAGAAATTTGTTAGATTGTTTGATTCTTATGTTGTTAGATTACGAATCAAGATGCTTAATTAAGTTTAGTTTTCTTTTGGTTACAAATTAGGTTTATTTAAGGTCCATTATGTGTCGATAAATGGCTGACTTTGTCTTGGGAGTTGTGTGACTGAAGTCCACCCTAGTCTAAGTGTACTTTCGTCTTTGAATTTATTTTTATTCGAATGTATAGGTCAAATTCACACTTAGTGCCAGTTTGGTATTTGCTTATTTGGGGTAATAAGTGATTTTTTAAAAATTTTGGGAAGCCCAATCCGTTTGGTAAACTATGAGAAAATCACTTATTATTAAAAATTGTTGTGAGAGAAAGCTATAAGGAAAGCAGCTAATGAGGTGCTTTCATTTTCTCATTATGCAGGAATCAATTTCGAAGAGGCGCTAGGTTTAATGATTATGCAGGAATTATTTTCGGATTACGCAGGAATTAGTACCAACAACACTCTTAACAAAAAGTTTACCAAACGCCAAACTACTTTCTCTCACAGCTGATTTCTTTCACAGCAAATCTGACAGAGATTATTTTCACAACACAGCAATGCCAAACTGACCTTAAAGATAAAGATAAACATTATTGAAGTCTAAGGGCTTATTTGAGAGTGACTCTGGAAAGGCTAGAATCATTTATGGGGAGAAACACTTACCAAGTGCTTCCGTATAATAACTTTAAGTGAAAATAATCGCTGTCAGATTTGTTGTGAGATAAATCAACTGCGAAAGAAAGTTGTTTTGCGTTTGGTTAACTTTTTGTTAAAAGTGATGTTGGTATAATAATCAGTTTTTGAGTATTTGGTAAATTTTTGTGTGAAAATGCTGTGAACTATGTATAATGACTAAAAAGAACATTATGGTGAAATAACACTTCTATGCAAGTGTTTAAAATTCTCCAATTTAATATTGAAATTATTTAGGGGACTGGTCTTTGGTTTGAAATGGAGCATTTAATTAAAAAGCATAATTTTTTTTTTCTTTTTACTCAAGTTGTTGTTGTCTTTGTAGTATGAAATGAAATGGGTTGGGTTTCACTCTCTCGAGTCTTCTTTAATAAGAAATAAGAATTGGTTCTTAACAAACAGGAACAAGGAATTCTCTATTTAAATAATTGAATTATGGGTCCATATTGGTTTTTTTTATCACCTTTAAGAAAAGCAAATTGTTTCTTGTTTAATGCAAAAACCTTTACCATTCCATAGTGTTTAAAGCTTTTTCTTCATAAGTAAGATAGTGAAAAGGGGAAAACGAGTCATGGCTACTTTCTCTCACGCCTTTCCAATCATTCTATCTTCTCTTCATTAGTAAGATAGTAACAAAGGGAAAAATGAGTCATGGCTGCTTTGTCTCACGCCTTTCCAATCATTCTATCTTCTAGTTGTCATTGCCAAATCAGTAATTTGAAGGAAGATCACAAAGTCTGTTTTTGGGGTTTTCCAGAGAATGAGTGACTGTGAAATTAGTATTTCTAAGGTTTAAAGGAAGAAGGATAAGTGGAAGAGAAGGCGAAGAGGGAGCTCTGATGAACGTGGAAGAGAGCGATGGAAGGAGAAGATTGAAACAAGGAGAAGAGAGACGCGAGTGTGAAATAGATGGGCTTATTTTCAAAATTTTGAAATTTTCATTAAAGTCTAGGGTGCTCTCCAAACTGATTATCGCATAATAAAAAAATGAAAGTAGCTCATTAGCTGTTTTCTCTAATTGCTTTCTCTCACAACAATTATTTACAAAAAGTGATTTTTTTTATCTTTTACAAAACATGCTAAGTTTTTAAAATTTTCAAAATAATCACTTATATTCCCAAATAAGCAATGCCAAATGGGCACTTAAAACCTCTTATAAAGTGATTATATGGAGAAGTGATTTTCCATAAAAGTGATTATTGGCCTATTTATAAATTTTATAATCACTCCCAAATGAGCTCTGGGCCAGTCTGGCATTGCTGTGCTGTGAAAATAATCGCTGTCAGATTTGATGTGAGAGAAAGTAGTTTGGCGTTTGGTAAACTTTTTGTTAAAAGTGTTGTTGGTATTGATTTCTTCATAATCAAAAAATGATTGTGGCATAATCATTAAACTCAGCGCCTCTTCAAAACTGATTCCTGCATAATCAGAAAATGAAAGCACCTCATTAGCTGTTTTCCCTTATAGCTTTCTCTCACAGCAATTTTTAACAATAAGTGATTTTCTCACAGTTTACCAAATGGGCTGGACTTCCCAATTTTTTTTAAAAATTACTTATCACCTCAAATAAGCAATGCCAACGGGCACTAATTCACTAGAAAAATAATGTACCGAAATAAAAGGCTTCTAAAATGGGGGCCAGCCATGAAACACGAGGCCCAAAAAGTGAACACCCATTATTGTTAGGGATGGCTATTTTAAAGGGAATCAAAGTTCTGGTTTCGCTTTACGCACAACCGTACGAGGAAGCAAAGACGAAAACATGGCCCCCAGGCGTGCCCTGCACGTGCAGCTATCGTTAGGTGGAAACACACGTGGGGGGACTACTCAAAAATAAAAAAATTTCCAACCTTCCATTCCAGCCCCCACTCCCCAGTCGTAGTCTTTAGGTGGAGAAAGAAACCATGAAGAAATAATGGCGAAAAAGAATTGAAGGCTGGGAATTTGGAGAAGATGGGTTTTGCTGAATTGGTGGCTGCGACCGTTGCATATGAAGCAGAAGCAGAAGCAGAAGCAGGATCAAGCGCCAGCAGTGCTCGTGCCAGCTTTCAATGGGGTGGAACCATCTTTGCCTTGTTAGTCACTTCACTGTTCAATTTCACCTTTTTTTTTTCCTTCTTTCTTATTTTATTTTTGGTTTAGGTTGGTTTACTTGGATTGGATGCATATGGTGGTGGAAAGAATGGCTACATCTGCATTTTTTTTTAATTATATTGATTTTGTATTCTGTATTGGTTTAACAGTAAAATATGAGAGAACCCCCATTTTAAACTCAAATAATTTATCTTGGCAAGCCGTGAAATTCTTAATGATAACCAAAGCAAAGTCATTTCCTTTCCTCCTATTATATTTCAATTAAATTTATTATTAATCTCTTGTGAATGGTCCCTGAACCATGACTGCTTTGGTTTTCGTCTAATGTCCATGGTTGTCACTGTTGTTTTGTCATCAATGATTATGAGTATGATATGATTGGTATGTGAAGGATGTTTTAGCACTTGTGGAACAGCAATTCGAGTTCTGCATTTTTTTTTTTTTTTTTTGTGTCTATTAATCTGTTCTGTGTTTCACTATACAAATTTCAAAACTTCAGATCTCTGGGGCAAGACTGCTAGGACATAATTATGTTGTATGTGAATGCTACTGGGGCATTGCATATGTTTTTGGCTTTGTTTATGAGTATGTTAGGTTGTTTGACTTGATATTCTCTCAATGAAGATGAAGATGAAGATCACCTCTTCTCGGTGACATATGTAGCTAACTGCAGAACCACATGCTTCTTTTGTCTTCGGGAGCCCTTAGATATATTACATTCGAATTGGTTCTCACTATTCACGTGTTGGTGCTCTGTTTTCAACCCGTCTCTTACTGTGGTTTTTCGCCGTATCCTACATTGTGTACAGAATTTTGTTAATCTTGAACCGAGTAGGGCGGAGATCAGCCATGCAAAGTAGCCTTCTTGTACTGTTCTTATTTACGAGCTTCCCGACGGTGTTATTCAAAATTTTGAGGTGGTTCTTGCCAATTCCTTTTTAATTTCATATATTACGCTCACATGTCCACTAAACTTACACATCAAAGTATGCAGGGGACAATTTGGTTGTTGGGTTTCCTTTCTTGCTGTTGCTGCAAACCTTATCTTTCCTCGAACTTTTCCAGGTATTTTTTTTAATATCCTCTTGAGTCTCACTTATGTCTACAGATTGTGTTGCTATTTTAGATTTCGGTTTCTGATGATTGTGTCTGTGTGCAGTTTCTCGGTTTCTCCTATTTGTCGTCCCACCTACTTTGGTGGCAAATGGACTGCGCGATAGCATCGTGGGCTGCATCTTTTGTCTAATGATTGGAGTTTTGCTCTTCGTAACAGAGATTCGAGGAATTGGAGGTTTTAGTAACTGTCGCTGTAATTTTCATTGCTTTGCTTATTGTCTCTGTATTGCATTTCTCTTCTTCTTTACAATATTGTATCTATGCTCAGAAACTTGGTAGAAAAAAGAGGAGAAACATGCCTTCTAGATCATGAAATGTAATTCTAGAATATTCTTGGCCTGTGATGGACTCAGAGATGTTAATGAAAATTCCACCTATATTAACCAAGATTTTTAGTTTCTATAGTTTTGATTTTGTCCTAGGAGTCGGGTGAACTGGATTGAATGGCCATAAGCTGCAACATTCTTGAGACACAGGACAAGAACTCTGATGCTAATCAAAGGTGTTCTTAATGTTTCTCTCTGATAACTGAAATATATTAATGAGCCGCATAAAATATTTATCACTAATCCCACTGAAAAGGATGTTAGAGTTGCGGGTCTTTCTGCATCAGATATTTCAGATTAGAAATAGAGTGTTTGCCGAGTAAATTGCGGGGACCAGTGAGTAATTAGAACTTATATTGGTCAGAGACTTAAAGCAGCCTTCAAGCTTGACATTGTTTGGTGTGGAAAATGACTAACGAAAGCAACGCTAGTTGAAAAACTTCTGATTTCACGGGGGAGAAAAACTTGCCTATACCAAGGTGTATACCCCAATCTCTCTATCTATCTCCTCTTGTGGCTTATCACGCGAGGAGAGTGATAGAGAGAAAAAGGGTATACACTCCGTTACATGCAACTTCTTCTCCTCAATGGGACTGCTCGAATTGTTTATCTAGCCTACAATATAATAAGCTTATTTGATAGGGTAATGCAGTCTTAAAGACATGACTGCAAACTTGAGGTTTATAAAATTGCGAAACTGATCTTACTGGTTCAACTTCAAGACCAAACCTTTTGCAGATGACTTAAGGATCTCTTAATCAATACCGATACATGTCGAAGATTAGTATTATAATACAAACCCAACCTCGTTAATAAGAATAGAAAAATCTTTTTATTAATTGAAGATAAACTCCGCTTACAGATCATATATTCTTTCTGATATAGATATCATGTTTTGTTTATACAAGTTGAACCCTGATGAGAAACACTTGCATGCACCGGGGATAGGACAACAGTCCCTCCAATCACAGTCCGACACGTGCCCATTTTCTGACAAAATTGGACATGTGGCGGGCTGCGATTGGAGGGGGATAGGACTGTTGTCCTATCCCCAGTGCAGGCAAGTTTTTTCCCTGATAATGGGGAGGCTGGTCAACCAAGACAACTATTAAGAAAAAATCAACTAGACAATCTTCTTCAATCCGCCCTGCTTGGTATAAGTTAGTGCCAATAATTCAACACAAAAATAATTACCAGGAAATTTCATGGTAGAAACGTCCGTTTCAAGGGATCCACAAAAACATTGGAATATATTCCAACTAAAGTCTCAACCTTTTTTTCTTGCCAGAGCACACCTTTCAATTCCAAGAAAAATGAGTTTCCTCTCTCTCATCTTATCTGCCATCATTCTCACCACTTTCTGTTGCTGTTCTTTGATTGTTGCTCAGCAGCCTTATGAGGGCCAGGCGTTTACAGATTGTTACAACACAAACACTTACTCAAAATCTGTTCTTGGGTACAGCTGCAATGGAGTGAACAAAAGTTGCCAAACTTATCTCACCTTCAGATCCCAGCCTCCTTACAACAGTGTTTCTGCAATCTCTGCTATGTTGGCTTCTGACCCGTCTCAGATTGCGGAGATAAATTCGGTTTCCGAGACTGCAACATTTGAAACGAACAAGTTGGTGATTGTTCCAATCACATGCTCCTGCTCAGGTGATTTCTATCAGCTAAACACATCTCATGTTGTTGTGCATGGTGATACATATTTTGTAATTGCAAATAACACTTTGCAAGGCCTATCAACATGTCAAGCTATGATGAACCAGAATACTAATCTCACTACAAAAGAGTTGTATTCTGGTACTAGACTTAGTGTTCCTCTTAGATGTGCTTGTCCCACAAAGAACCAAACTGATGTGGGGACCAAGTATCTTTTGACTTACATAATCGCTCAAGGGGATTATGTTTCAAAGATTAGTGCTAGATTTGATTCGGATACCGGAAGAACTCTTGAAGCTAATGGACTTTCTGAGCAAGTCTCTACCGTTTATCCCTTCACCACACTTTTAGTTCCTTTGCAAAACCCTCCATCTAGTTCTCAGACCATAGAGCCACCCTCATCATCACCATCACCTCCGGCGCCACCTTCCACTTCCTCTAATAACTCAACGAAAAAATGGGTTTATGCCCTTGTTGGGGTTCTTGGAGGAGGTGCTTTTGTGTTGGTCATAGGCATCATTATCTTCTGCACATTCTTTCGCAGAAGCAGAGGTACGAAGGGTTTCAATTCAATTATTGTCTCGGAGAGCCTTGAGGCACTTGAGAAACCACTAGAGAAAAAGGAGGAAGAAGGATCTCAGGACTTCTTAGAGGCTCTATCTGGCATAGCTCAATCCCTCAAAGTTTACAAATTTGAGGAACTGCAACGCGCAACAGATGACTTTAGCTCCACCTATTTGATTAAGGGGTCTGTGTATCGTGGAAGCATCAATGGGGATTTGGCAGCCATCAAGAAAATGAATGGAGATGCGTCCACAGAGATAAATTTACTAAACAAAACCAGCCATTCTAATCTCATTTGCCTGTCAGGAGTTTGCTTTCATGATGGACATTGGTATCTTATCTATGAGTATGCTGTCAATGGACCCTTGAGTGATTGGATCTATTACAGCAACAATGATGGGAAATTTCTGAATTGGACACAAAGAATAAAGATTCTGTTGGATGTGGCCTCAGGGCTTAATTATCTCCACAGCTTCACCACTCCTCCCCATGTGCACAAGGATATAAAGAGCAGTAACATTCTTCTTGACAGTGACTTCAGGGGCAAGATTGCAAACCTAGGTCTAGCAAGGTCAACCGAAGCACCGGAAGGTGAGGTTCCTTTGACAAATCACATTGTTGGAACAATAGGATACATGGCTCCTGAGTACTTGGAGAATGGTTTGATCTCCACAAAGCTTGATGTCTATGCATTTGGAGCTCTCATGCTAGAAATACTCACTGGAAAAGAGGTTGCTGTGCTTTATGAGGAAAATAGACAATTGTCTGATTTATTAAACTCTGTGCTGAACGACGAAGATGGACCGCAGAGTTTGAGGCACTTCATCGATCCTTCTATGCAAGAGAGTTATCCTCCAGAACTTGCTCTTTTTGTGATCAGATTGATCCATAGTTGCTTAAATAAAAACCCAGCAGCTCGCCCAGCAATGGAGGAGATGGTACAGTTTCTCTCAAGAACTATGAGCAATTCACTCGGTTGGGAATTGTCAAGCAACATCTCAGGCTACCAAGGTACAGAGGGATTTATTGATGGTAGAGAAACTGGGACAGGATCTCAATCAACTACTTAGTTTAGTCAACTTAGATTGTGTTGTAATTTACTGCTTGTTTTGTTCTTTTAGAAATACGGCAGTTAAGATTCGTCCGATACTTCTTGTTCCTCATTATGCTAAAGAAATAAGGTAATTTATTGCATTATACATCTGGTTATAGTCCATTAAACAATGTCCTATGTGCAGAATTATCTATTAACAACAAAATAATTAAATATTGAGGCGTAAGAAGTTGATCATGGCTTATGGGTATGCGGCAGTAATCATATAAATACAAAACCTGTGGTAAAAATTCTAGAAGAGATAAAGGAAGGAGTGACAGGAACTTTTTTATCAAGAAAAATGATCAGTTTCTTGCAGACTATATGAATTATGGAATTGGTTATACCTTAAAGCTTAAGTTAAAGACCTTACCATAGATATATATATTTTTTAAAATAACCAGGTCTATGGCATTCATTTCTCTTATTAGAGAATATTTCTAGAAGGGTTTTTTTTTTTAATCAAATAGAGTTGGCCAAGTCAAGAGTGCTACAAAGCACTGATTCCCCCTATAGTCCTACCCTAAACTCCCTTAGTAAGTGAAGCATTGCTTCTTTAAATAAGATTAAAATCAAATATAAGTTAAACTTGGGCCCCAACCTGGTTGGTTTTTCTGGGAAACTTCCCACCTGAGAAGCCTAGTTAGTCAACATAACTACAAAAACCTATTATTCAAAACAACATGTACGCGGTAATGCTGATGTTGCAGAAATTATATTGCCAAAGACTTCTTTCGCATCTTCAAAGACTTGAAGTTTCTCCTCTCCCAAAAGTCCTCTCACAGAAAGAAACTTGATCATGGATGATTGCTCTCTACTCAGGTTCTTACTTTTGCTGCTAATCACTCCAAAACTCAAAGCTCAACAAAGTTATGCAGAAAACTCAGCTCTTGATTGTGCTGACAGTGATGACAGAGGATCACTCCCAACTTTTCTTTACACCTGCAATGGTGAAAAGAAATCCTGCAAGGCTTTCTTGATTTTTCAATCTCAACCCCCTTACAATTCAGTCTCTGCCATATCAAACCTTACCGCTTCAGACCCGTCTGAGCTTGCCCGAATCAACAATGTCTCAGATCCTACACTCTCGCTGCCTCAAAACAAAGAGGTGATTGTTCCTGTAGTCTGTAATTGTTCAGGTGAGTACTATGAGGCTAAAGCCTCTTATCGTATTCCCAGTATTGATGACACCTACCATACGATAGCAACTGATACATATCAGAATATGTCTACTTGTAATGCTCTTATGCACGAAAACAATTATAATGCATTAAGCTTGCAACCTGGTTTTGAGTTACAGGTACCACTTAGATGTGCTTGTCCCACAAGCAATCAAACTTTCAATGGTACAAAATTTCTGTTGACTTACTTGGTCAGCTGGGGCGAATCTGTCCCTGTAGTTAGTGAGAGATTTAATGTAAGTGCCAAGAGTGTAGCTTATGCAAATGGGTTTACAGAAGATGATCCTCTTTTGTATGCATTAACACCAATTCTCGTTCCACTGTCAGTAGAGCCTTCAAGCTCTCAAACCATTATTCATTACCCACCAGGGCCCCCACCACGCCTTTCTCTTCCAGTTACTCCGATTCATGGAAACAGAAGGTCAAAGAAAGCATATGTTTGGATTGGAATTGGAATTCTTGTGCTAGTTCTTTGTTTGGCTATCTTTGTGGTGTTTCTTTATCACCAGAAAATGGTTTCTCAAAAGAATATACAAGGAAAAAAGAAATGGGTCTTGCGAGAAAGTTTCTTTGTTACCGTTGCTGAAGAAGTTGATGTTGGGTTGAAAGTCTTCGAATACGAAGAATTGAAAGGTGCTACAGAGGATTTCAGCAACAAGAACTGCTTAGGTGGCTCTGTCTATCGTGGGTTTCTCGATGGAAAAGTACTAGCCATAAAACGGATGAGCAAAGATGCAACTGAGGAGGTGAAATTACTGAAAAAGATCAACCACTTCAATCTAATCAGCCTTTTCGGTGCATGTGAACATTGTGAGGATTTCTATCTTGTGTATGAGTTCATGGAGAATGGTTCCTTAAGAGATTGGCTCAAGAAAGAAAGTTGTCCAGAAGTTCCGAGTTGGAATCATAGGGTTCAGATCGCTTTGGACATTGCCGATGGGCTCCACTATCTGCACAACTTCATCTATCCTGCTTATGTTCACAAGGGTATTAGCAGCACCAATGTTTTACTCAACAAAGATTTACGGGCGAAGATAGCAAATTTCAGTCTCGCACGATCAGCAGAGAAGGAAGCAAATAGGAATTCGTCTACACGGTATGCCCAGGTATCAAAAGGTTACTTGGCACCGGAATATATAGAACATGGATTGGTGACACCTGCAATTGATGTATATGCCTTTGGGGTTGTTCTGCTGGAATTGGTAACAGGAAAAGAAGCTGTGTTCTTGCAGGATGGTGTAGAAGTGCTTCTTTCAGAAGCAGTATTTACAACAATGGGAGGAGGAAATGCTGAAGCAGTATTTACGTTAATGGGAGGAGGAAATGCGGAAGCTCACCCTGATAGGCTAATAGACCCTAATTTAAATGCGGAGCATTGCATGGAGTTTGCAGTACGAATGATAAAGCTAAGTCTAGCCTGCTTGGCTGAAGAGCCAGAAAGCAGACCAAGAATCCATCAAGTACTCTCATCCTTGATAAAAATACAATTGGATACAGAAAAAGCAAAATATTTTTGTAAAACAATAGTCTAGTAGCAACAGTGTATCGCACAAAGTACTGTTCTTCTGTATCATGTATGTGGAACCATTGCATGACATGAAAAATTGTTTTGTTGTCAACTATTATTGCCATTAAGGAAAAACAACAACCTCCTATTCCATCAAAGTTGAGAAAATAAAAGAAAAAGGAAAGATAGCAAACTTGTTCAGAAATTCATTGAAAGAATAGAAACACACACAGATATTAAGTACCTCAAAATCTAGAGATGACTTATAAATCATAGTACTTTCTCCCAGCCTAAATCAGAGAGTTTCGACTGGAATGACTACTTCCACAATGCTATCTGTTTTAAACTTTGAAGTTGAAAATTTATGCGTTGTCATAGAGGATGACTGAGTGTTAAAAAATAATGCACACTTGTACTTGAATAATATAGAAAGGTCTTTAGTGATATAGAAAAGTCTATATTTTTAAAGAATGTGCAAACCGACTTAACAAAGTCGGTGAATACAAAAATTCTGAGAAATCAAAGTGTGTTATAATATAAATTATTCAAAGAACTAATCTCACCGACTAAGCTCTTGCCGGTTAAGTCTCCTACATATATAGGCTTGATGCCTATACAAAAATATAAGCTGAAAAACTACAGCTTGTCTAACTCTCCCATCAGCCAACTCTAAAAGCCTTGTAACTTTTTTTTTTTATCTAAATCAATAAAATAAAACGATTTTGTTACTCTTTCAAAAGTTTTCATTTACAAGTTAAGTTATTGTCCTAAACACTACAAACCATTCTCTAAACCTCTTCTCCCTTAAATCTACACTGAGCTAGTACAGAGAGGTTCAAAACGACTTCAGCCAAACTTGGCCTTGCCTGTGCATTTTCTTGTGTGCATGTCGTGGCAAGGGCTGCCAAACTCAGGGCACCATCAAGAGGATAACAGTTCTCCAATTTTGGATCTATCCATTTTTGTAACCTTTCAACGCTCTTCTCTTCAACCTTCAACACCTCCCTTAAATCTTTGTACAACATAACCACTTCACCATTTTCTTTTGTTTCCATGGCCCCCTTTCCTGAAAGTAACTCCAACTGAAAAACCCCAAATGCGAAAACATCCAGTTTTGGCATCGACGAGTTTGTAACAGGTCTAGCTGTTGAGAAATTTGCTAACTTGGCCTTGAAGTTGGAGTCTACGAGGATATTTCTTGCTCTGACATCCCAGTGAACAATGCTTGGTTGAGTGTGGTCATGCATGTAGTGCAGGCCGTTGGCAACGTCAAGTGCTGTGTGAATTCTCTGACTCCAAGAGATGAAGGCCAGAGAGTCTGAAGAAGCTTCAGAGTCAGGGAACAACCAATTTTCAAGTGATCCATTCTCAGCAATTTCATAAACCAAGAAGCGATCATCTGCGTCATACGAAATTCCCATCAAATTCACCAGATTCACATTTGTTTACCTTCTGCAGGATACTCAGCTCTTCTTTGACATCTTTGTTGGTTCTCTTTATGGCTAAAACCTCCCCATACATGGTGGCTTTGTACACTGAATCCCCAATTTTACAGAGTTCATCAAGGTCATTGGTTGCCTCCATAATCATTTCTTTGTCATACATAATTGCCTTCCCTACATACTGTGAAATCCCAGAAAGTAACTTCTCCTGAGTGGCCTGATCAGGATCATAATTCCTGACCTTGAAAGATTTCTTCCTTTTCTTTAATACTGTTCTACGAGTAAAGACCAGCAAGAGAGCCAAAAATCCAATCAGAAGAAGAGATATCTAGACTATTTATAGAATGAAAGAAATTAAACTCACCTTGTGTGTGTCATTTACTTCATCTTGAACTAATAATAAATCCCAGAACCATAAAGAAAAAATTACTCTTCAAATTACTATGCATAAATACCCTTTATTGGAAACTTGCCTAAGAAACCTAGTCATTGAAAACAGACAATATGTAATGAATTGTTTTTGAAACAGACAGCAAAGGATTAGTCATTAATCACAAGTGATTAGTTTAATACATGAAAAGAATCCACAATGGAAAATGCATGGCAAGTAGCTACAGTCTTGGCAATTATTTACACAAACTGGTAAAACTCAGTTGGTCAATATCTATAAACAAATGCAGTTCCTGGCTTCATAATATTACCAAAGGGCAAGGGGATGCTCATCATGCTCTTGGTTGTCAAAAGTACTGTAGCTAACTGGAAAGAAGAACCACAATGGTTGAACTTGAAAATGACAAGAAGTTACTTGAGTTTTCTGGGTGATAATTGACATGGACCAAATGGTTGCAGCCTATACTTTTGTGGGTCTTGCCTTTGATAGGAATCTAAATTAATATAATAATAAAAACAAAAATATTCACATAATAGTAAGAAAAATTCAAGTACTGATGTCATGGTCACTGCACTACCCTATATCTCTAGCTTGATTTGACCATAGCTGCTTGACAAAGACAATGCAATAGTACTATTAACAACGGGACAACTTGTGCTCTTAGCGAACTCACTAATTGCATATTGTTTTTTCTTTAGTTTCTTGTAATTTCAGTTTTAAAGATATAAGTATTAACTTTAACGTCCTAGGAAGGTTTTAACAAGGTCATTTTATTTGTGCCGATATTTGTATATATTTTTTGTTTATGAATGCAATCTTGCTCTTGCTCTTAAAAAATGTGTTCACTTTAAATGCCTAAATTTGTTGAAAGAAACTCTTCTGACCTTGTGTAAAAGTTTTCAAGGGTGAGTACAAATATAATTGAGTATCACATCAAACTACCATTTTTTTTCTCATAATATTGATATTACATATTGAATTTAAAACAATCACAGAAATGGAGGAAAAATTGAAATAAATTTAATGTAGTTCCCCATTGTTGTCACGAAAAAGTTTGCGTAGTTCAACTCAAAATTGGAAAGACCTTTTAAGCCCCAACAATGTGGGCATATTTTGAGTAAAACATGTTCTAATTTGGTAGAAAGAAATCTTAAAAAATAACACTAAAAAATAGAAAGATAATACTCATGATGAAAACGAGATTGATATCCGTTGATAAAACCATAAACAATTTCCGTAGAAATAGTAATTCAAATATCTAAATTTGACTTAATTTTAGTAATAAGATTTTTATTAACTGAGTAACGTTTGTTTCAGTGTGGAATATGCAAAGAAGAAAACTACATTTGATTAGAAAGGTTTGATAATTGTTTTTTTAGCATTTTCTATTTTCCAAAAAATAGAAGATTTGTTATTTTTATTCCATTGTTGAACCACTCACATCTTCTAGTTGTCTTGCATATAAGCTGAAGCCCATGTTGTTCACCGTCAGATCAGCTGAAGCCCATAGTCTTTTTATTATATTTTTAAGGCCCAGCTCAAAACAACGTTGTTTTGGCCATATCATTTTAAAAGATTGAAAAAAGAAACCTCACGCGCAACAGCAACGGAAGGCCTTTTGTCGAACACTATGGGGTCGCCTGAGGACCTTCACATCCACAGTTTTGGCCGTCATAGGGTTGCCTAACCTCTCTTATCCCTTTGCGCATCCACCACTGCTTGAAGCATATGTCAAGTAAGTTGACGATTATCTCTAAATTATCACTTTATAAATTTTGTCTTCCTACCTCCAGATTCCAAGGAAAAAGAAATTCAAATTCTGTCTACAAAATCTCCAAATTCATTAGACACTTAGACTCTTAGATGAATTCATTTGGATTTCTAGACATCTTGTTATCCACATTTATGAACGTCAATGATTATTCAATTTTCACTATGAACTATCTTAAATATAGTCTTTTAATTTCCTCCAATATTTCATCTACCAAGTAAAAGTAACATATATTATTTTAAAAAATATATTAAAGTAGACTATTAATTGCATTCTTATACAAACTCTAATTGAATCAACTTATATCAAAAACTCTAATTTAAAAAACAGATAATTTTTTTTGTTGAAAATTTGAACAGTTAATTTGAAACTAGACATCAATACAAATTTCATCTCACTCATAAGAACAAGTTTATATATATATCTGTGTGTGTGTGACAGAAAATATTCATTTCTAATGTTGCAGAATAAATGTGTCTGTTAAACTGCAGTTCATAAAAGTTTCGCCTCCATCTAAATTCCATGCCAACCGGAAACAACATGTACGTGAACCCAAATTTGATTACCCATCAGAGAATACAAACCCAACAACTGAAAAATAAAATGAAATTGAAATTGAAATTTCCACAAAACATGCTCCCAAACTAATGTTTGAGTAGCCCATGGGCCATGACATCAAAGCCCATGATCAAAAGTCTAAGTGGGTAAATCACCCTGTCCATTTGTGTAATTTGGTCAATTCAATGCTACTATTGAGTAGTCCATGGGTCATGACACATTGAATTTTTTAAACCAAAAAAAAAAAAAACAGAAGTTGAAAAATGAACATTTAGTTTAAACAAGTTTATTTAAGAGACCATTTGTGGTGTTCATTTTATATTGGATTTCAAATTCAATTATGTAAACAATCTATTTTTGGAGTCTTCATTCATACGTATTCTTTGAGAACAATTATACAAATCATAAACCATTAATGTGTGTAGTTTCGATGAAACATATAGACGAACACAATTTTTTCACAAAATATTATAATGACTAATTTCTAATCAAATGGTCATAAAATTGTTCAATTTTGGTGATTTTTTTGTATAGATGACTTATGAATTAAAACTTTGAAAATTAGGTAGTCTTTTTTATTTTGCAAATACAATGCAGGGAGAGTCCACACATGTATCTACACAGGTATTTCTCAAATAAATTTATTTACATGTTCCTCTAGTTTAAATCATTTGTGTAGGACCTGTGATTTGCCATTTTTGGCCTATTTCATCTGAAATTCTTCTTCATCTGTTAAAATCAGTTCATACCAAAACCCAAATACATATTTTATGTTAAAACTCTCATGCTACCTAGCTAACTGAAGTTCATTTTCCTCAATTCCCAAAGTAAAAGCACTTGTTGAAGTACTTGAGGCCTGCTATGGCATGGCTGAAGTAATTTCATACTTCCATTCTATTTCAAGCAGAATTATTCTGTGTAAATAATTAAAGGTTCCAGAAAAATATAGGTTTTTGTTGCTAGATTATGTATTTAACAAATTAGTTAATAGTATGTAGTTCATAAACAACAATCTTAACTAGTGTGCTTCCATAATATGATATTTGCATATAGAAAGAAAGCTATACACTGAATCTCATCATCAACAAGCAAAGCTTGAAATTAGCAGTAAAATGTACACTCAATTCCATCATTCAGCCCATAAAGGAACTGCAGATTATTTTTCAGTACATGATTATGAATATGTAAATACAAATCTAATTGGACTAAAAGTTTGTAGCTTCCTTATCACTGAATCAACGGGCAGTGATCGGATTGATAGTTTGAAGAACTTCTTCTGCTTCCAAAGCAGCAGCCCAAGACCTTTCGAACGTCGATTCGGAAGACGAATGAGTAAGCACAGAGAGGTTGAACACAACTTCTGCCATGCTTGGTCTAGCTGAAGATTTCTCCTGTGTGCAGGCCCTTGCCAAGGCTGTCAAGCTCAAAGCACCATCAATGGGATAGAAGCTCTCCAAATTTGGATCCATCCATTTTCTTAACCTCTCCACTTTTTTCTCTTCAGCTTCCAAAACCCACCTAACATCCTTCCACAACATGATAACCTCTCCATTTTCCTTTGTCTCCATGCCTTTCTTTCCTGAAAGCAAGGCCAACAGAACAACCCCGAAAGCAAAAACGTCCACATTGGGGGTAACATTGTTTGCAGCTGCTCTAGCCATGGAGAAATTTGCTATCTTGGCCTTGAATTTAGAGTCGAGAAGTATGTTACTTGTCCTGATATCCATGTGAACGATGCTCGGTTGCGTGTGTTCATGCATGTATTGCAGGCCATTTGCGACATCCAGAGCTATGCTTAGTCTCTGATTCCATGTGAGCAAAGCTAAAGAAGTTGAAGTGGATGAAGATTTGGGGTACAACCACTTATCAAGTGAGCCATTTTCGGCATATTCATAAACCAAGAAGCGAAACCCGTCTGCTTCAGACGAGATGCCCATTAGTTTCACCAGATTTGCATGATTTACCTTCTGCAGAATATTTAGTTCCTCTGTGACATCTTCCTTGGTGTTCTTTACAGCTAAGACTTGCCCATCAATTATGGCTCTGTATACAGACCCTCCAATCCTGCAGTGCTCGTTGAGATTCATGGTTTCCTCCATAATTGTTTTGATCTCATACATGATTGGCTTTCCTAGATAGCTTGAAACTCCAGGAAGAAGTTTGTCCTGTATGAACTTGAGCTCTAATTTTTCATCATTTTTTCCTTCTTTCATATTGAACCATTCAGCGCTCTCCAGAGATGATCCAGTACCATTCAAGGCCTTCCTTCTCTTATGTTGACGACGACTATAGACCACGAACATCACGAAAAGGGATGAAACAGCTAGAACACCTCCCAAGCTTATGACTAGAATGAGCCACCACCGCTGCTTGAATATGTTTCTTCCGTGAGGGGCTTTCGGTTGAGCTAGAGCAGGCAATTTTGACACCGGGATCACCACCGGAAGGCCCACAGCAGCGGTGAAGTTCCGGTTATTGTTTGCGGTTACGATATCAAGTGGTGACACATTGAACTTGGAACTCACCCGAAAGGTGTCATCGTTGGGTTGCCATACGTAAGTGATAAGGTGCTTAACTCCATTATCCGAATACATCTTCGATGGGCATTTACAGAACAAAGGAAAGGTTACTTTGACACCAATCTGCAAGAGGGTTGGATCCAGAGTGGGGTTCATATCTATCACTGCATGCCAATTGGTGAGATTCTCAAATGAATTTATTGAAACTACATAGTAGTTATCTCCTTTCTTGATCTCATAGGTGATGTTCGAAAAATAACTGTTTCCAGTGCAACCGCAGGTGATCGGTACGAGTAAGAGTTGGCCTGCAATCAATCTGATCTGCCCAGAGACTAGATTGCTGGCCTTGGTAATTGATAAAGAACTGACCCCAAATAGATCAGAAATATTTCCGAGACTCAAAAACTGAGGCTGGGCAAGGTACGACACATACGTGTCGCACGAAGGAGGTGCATCTACCGAGCATGAAAAGCTTGTGCTCGAGTTGGATGGTGCTGGTTGAGCTAAAATTTGGGTGGTGAAGAAGAACAGTAGAAGAATACAGAGAGGTTGGGAGCCGAGGAAGGAGATTGCCATTGCTATGACCTTGCTATGATTATGCAGGCTCTCAACCAGTTATTGCAATATTTGCTTACGTGATCTTACTAAAGGTTGATGGAAAAGCCGAAGGGCATTGTAGGGAAAGCTTTCAATCCATATAAAAAATATATAATTTATACAAATATCAGGGGACCTGTGTCTCTAGCTTTAAATTGAACGAGTCTTATTTCCTCTCCTCCTTCCATTGGTCGTCATTAGAAAATAGTAGACGCAGTATCATTGATGTGATTTTTATAAGTTAAAGACACAAAAATAGATCCAAATACATCTAGGCTTCAACTAGTTTTCAGTTTCCTGTACTAAAAATTCATTTCTGCTAAGAACTATTCAAATAAGGCAGATTAGTTTAAAACAAACACCCAGCTTCGGACGGCAAGTTGTCCCTCCTACCATTTCTATATATAAAGTCAGCGACTCAAAAATCACTAAAACTATTTGAAGGCCCCACGTGAATTGGGATTAATCAAGAGAATATCCTGATTGTTCCTGGCACAAGCAACCGTGCATCATATCATGATATAATCTAAAGTATATGATCTGATAAATGATTGGTAAGGAACAACCATATACAGCTTGCTTCGAGGCACCTAAACGGTTAGATAGGTGATAGGTTGGCCTGTTGGAAAAAACCAATCTGATGACAGTCATACTTCTAAGTCAAGACAATCACAACAGACGGTTTATTATTTCCAATAAAAAAAGTTTCAAAATCAAGCGACTCGCCGTCCAATCAGAATAACCAGAGATTTGCTGCTCAATGGCTGCTAGAGAGATACACCTAACAAGCTCCAAGAGGCGCTCATGGTAGGTGAATGAAAAAGCTGTACTAACGTTTTCAATACAAGCAAATAATACGGTAACCTCTTCATCAATGAGTAACGACATGAGATTGAAATTCACATCAAATGTAAAGAGAAATAAATGCCATTACATAACAATACAAACACAAACATCAAAAAGAGTATCTGTAGTTATACATACTGCCCAGAACTCAAGACGCATGACTTCAAGTATTCCGCTACAAAGTAAATCATTGGTCATTGCCAAATCCATCTAAAACTCTATTCACCTGCTGATGTGAAGCTATTGGAGTAAATAGAAAAAACTTTTGTAAGATCTGCAGAACTCACTGTCCATATGTGACCGTGCAATGTGAGTGGAAGGACATCACTTACTTCCTCACAACTCTCTTCCACCGCAGCAGCTTCTCTCCGCTTGCCTTCCTTCCAAAGACTCTTCACAAGCAACTCTTTTGTGGTGGAGTCAGGCATCAAATTTAAATTCCTCAAGTCTTCAAAAACCCTCCACGCAAGAGCAGCTCTCCCACACTTGCAATATGCTTGGATAAGTACTTTGAACGTATAAGCATCAGGCTGGACTCCACTTTGTCTAACCATTGCAAAGAGTTTCTGCACAGTTTTGATGTCCCCATTTAGTGCAAAATGATGCATCAACCCAGTAAATGTCTGGATATTGGGAACAATCCCACATAAGATCATCTCTTCAAGTACATCCAATGCATCAGAATCCCTCCCACACTTAGTCAAAGTTCGTAAGAGAGATGAATACAGAAGCATCAAATTAAAGTTTGATATAGGGCCACAGAGGTTTCTATCATCGTGAAAGACCTTCAGAGCAGCGTCAGCTTTCTTTGAGATACCATAAAAATCAATGATCAACCTGATAGTGCAGAAGGGCAATCTCAATTGCTCCATCCTCATCTTGTTTAAGAGTTGATCAACCAATTCAGAAAGCCCATCGCGCGCCAAAAGGGCCATCATCCTTTGTACTGTGTAAATATCATGAGTAAAACCTCGCTGACAAGCAACCCAACAGAAAAAATTCCAAGCTTTTTCTGCTGATTTAAAATTCCTAAGAATCTTGCATACTAACCTAGTTGTCCACACAAATTTTGCCTTCTCTAATGCTGATACTTCATCAGGGCACCATTTTTGCAAGGCATTGGCCAAAGCCCTCGGGTCTAACCACGGTTTTAACTGAACCTCATTAACATCATCACCTCCACCAACATCACTAGAATCCTCATCATGATCCTCATCCTCATCACTACTGTCAACACAATAACTTATGTTCTTGATGTCCTCATTGGGCAACATTTCTCTTAGAAATTCATCAGTCTCTTGAACAAATCCTGCTTCTTGAATTTGTTCCAACGACAAACGCATAGCTCGACCGGGCAATATTCCATCAACCCGCATTTCATTAAGTAAAATCTTAACCTCATCAAACTGTTTGACACCAACACATGCCTCTACCAAAACTGAATACTGGTTCAAAGTCCGCTTCACCCTCATCAATGGCAACACATTAAAAACCTCCATTGCAGACTGCAACTTCCCAGAACTCACAAGGTGCTCAATCATCACCGTATAAGTTCGACTATTCGGAATCGCCCCTTCTTCAATCATCATATGAAAAACCTTCACGGCCTCAGAGTCTTTACCCATCTGGGCAAAAAGGCGCATCACAATGTTATAAGACTCGGCACAAACACGTTTCTCCGAGCTAACTCTATACTCATCCCATACTCTAATAACTCCCTCGAGGTCTCCAATGGCAGCTTGCCACTGCATAAGGTTCATGAAGCTGACACGAACGTTTCGAAACTTTCCGGCATGGACTGCTTCAATGAGGAACTTGAGCTCGTCAGCTCGGCGAGACTTGGCGAGCACTGTGGCCAAGGCATGAACGGTGTTCTGCGTATGAACGAAATGTGGGTTCTGCTCGATAAATTGAACGAGGGACAGGGCAGAGTCGGCGGAGGGAGCAGAGCGGAGGGCTTGAGTGACCACAAAAGAGTCGAGAAGACGGTCGCCTGCGAGAGGAGCAAGTGAGTCTGGGGTGTTGACTCGGAGCCTAAGACGAATTGAATCGATGAGTTTGGCTCGGTGGAGGTAGAGGGAGACCTTGTTGGGAAATGGGTTGCGAGCATAGTGACGAGTTTGCTGCTGGGTTAGGATTTTCATCAGGTTTGTGCTGCGAAAAAGCTGCTTGAAAAGCATGTCAAAACGTCGAACAGTTGGTGTGCGTATAGTTATAAGCCATCATCAAACACCGTGTGGCGGGAGAAAATGTATTGGTAGCGTTGTTCTGTTCGGGCAGTTGATGATGGTACATTGGTATGTGACCCTTTGTTAACGTCAACCGTGGATGAGAGATCTCTGAGATATTGTAATCCTGACCGTTGATCCATGTTTATCGAACACAGATCTTCCAATATTTTTTATGGACTACTTTGACAACGGAAAATGCGCAACAAGCTATTCAACAAAAAATTAATAAAAAGAAATTTATCCAAGCCCAACAAGCTAATGTATTGGTCTGTACCAACAATCTAGTGAAAAAAGACATTGATTTGCAGACCAATGATCTTAAATTTGAAGCCCCATAACACATTAGTAACGTGTGTATGAGACATCCCCCTCTCCTTATAGTGATTATCAAAGTTTGTAAAACTCATTATTACAAAAGACTTGGCTTGGATTTTATTAGGGACCACGGAAAAATTCTTCTTCTTTTTTGGTCCGGAATGGAAAAATTCCCCTTGAGTTTCTACAAACAAAAAGTATAATCTATTATTAGCTGATAGGTCTTTTTGTTACAATTTCTTCCGAACAGCTTGAAGTAAATAGAATGCGATTGTACAATATGTTTTCCAAACTGTTTGGAGATGACAGCAACTCACATAGAAGTGAGCATTTCCATTGCTTCTCTCTCTCTATCTTATGATGTATATGGATTTTCTGTCCTATAAAATCAATATGGCAAGGCCAAGGTACGGATTTGTATGGTATGAACTCTTTGTATCACTCCACAAGTCAAACCGGAAAGCTTCCTGTTAATCGAATATGATCAAGGGTCCTCCGTAGATCATACTTGAGCACTGCTTTGTTTCCAATCCTGAATCCTTCTCCATACGCTGTTGATGAATCCGACTCAATTTGGTGTTTGAAAAAATCACCAAGCTTCTTCTCAAAGTCAGACCGTTTACCCTTCTTAGATGACGCCGAACTAGAAGAGGATGAGGAGGAAGACGTAGATGATGAGGCAACATCACTACTGGATGTAGAATACATCTCAGCGTCCAGCCACATATGGGCCAACACTTGGCAGATACCTTCTTCAACCTCCGGGCTCAGGTTCGGATAGCCTGCCAAAACATTCAATCAGTAAACCCAAGGGACCAAAAGGAAATGTTACCAATGACATAAAAGCAGGAAAGGCACACACCGTTAAGCCTTAGCCATGCATGCATCATCTCATGAGCCAGAATCGACCCTGTCAGCAACCTGTGTTTATACAAATTTTAGGTCACATACAATTACAAGCATGATCTATAACCATGGCCAAAGAGGGAGCCAGCGAAATATTACCTAGGAAGGCCATACAATACGAGAATTGCTGTTACTTCACAGCGGCGAATCAGCCTATGAGGCTCAGTTACCATGTCTATCATCCGGTAGCCAGCTCCGATCTTTGGCCTCCGTAAAATCTGTGACATAGTAAGAGATATACAATCAATTCTTATCCAATGAACTGATAGCTTCATAAATTTAGAGGACACTTCTACAGCTAAAATTTGAGGGGAACAAATTCTTACAGTGGTAACAGTCTGTTCTTCTGACAAGCAGAGTCCTCTAGTCTCTGGCATGTGATGATGACCCTGCCCACAGTAAAGGAAAAGATCAAATCAACATTATATTGAAGAAATGCAAAAATACATTGTTTTTCAGAGCTTGTAATGTTAAATCATCAGCATTACATTCTTTTCTCCCTCCATGGCCTCATTTAGAGCTTGTCTCTCAACCAAGAGCATTGGAACTTGCTGCTTCACTTTCATGTTTAAACCTTCGTAAAAATCTTGTATTTCAAGATAAAGGGGTTGGCATTCGTGTGTATCCATAATTGCTGAGTCTAGACACTCCAGACATAGCTTCCGACCATCATCAAGTAACAAATATCTTGTGTCCCTTGGCTGCAAGGTTAGGAGATAAATCATTAACCAACAGAAAATGAAAATTTGGAACTGCAGACGTTTCTTGGAAAAGCTACAAAAATGTCATGCAGTCAGTGGTTGACGTAAATCTTATATCCTTTTCCATTTTTTCTTCAGTATTTATTGTCTTCTTACAAAGTGGAGGGGTTATGTTTTCATGAACTCACCTCCATTCTTTCACAGCTACAACACCGAGGAGTCCTATCACGTTCATGAGAGGGGCAGTACTTTTGTAGCCAGAAAGGATGTGCCCTATACTCAATAAGACCAGCTGAATTTGTTGGGATCTGTACAGAAAGAACAAAAGTACAGAAGACTCAATGATGTGTATGATGCACAGAGGAATAATTTTAAAAAGGCAGGCCTCACTCTTTCTAACATAAATTGTAGACTGTATGTAAGAAACCTTGATGATGATATTTGTGAAGGAAAAGAAAAAGAACCAGAAACATAGAGAAAAATAATATAAAAATTGTTCAACAAATATTTATCAAAAAGATAAATTGTTCAACAAATGCATATGTGTTGCCTTAAACCAGTCCAGCCAGTAGAAAGAACCATCAACAAGGGCATTCACGAAGTTCTGTTGTCTTTGAGGCTAATTCACCAAACTAGTAGAAAAGAGAAACAATGAACTGATTTGAAACTTTCACACCAAAAGAAAAATGAAATAATTATAGCTTATCAGACAGGAGCCTGCTAACTCTGAGCAGTTTTATAATCAGCCAGCATTATATGATCATTTCCTAACAGCGCCATCAAACTGGATTCCAGAGGAGGTTAATCAGGTTAAATCATCAGACTCCTACACTCATTAACCGCTCCTGGATGTCCTATTAGCCTACACATTGATCACTAAGTTCCCCTTCTGGTAACGTCTCTGGTAACATCATCAACTAAATACAAGTACTTTAATTACCAAAATGGAAATGCTTATAGCATTAAAGAACTCAATAAGAAGAGACACTTACAAAATTCTTACAAACATCACATCTTGGGTGATGCTGCTCCTTATAGCAGGATTTGTGGTAAGGGTGATTCCCAGACATAGAATACTGTCACAGATAGGAGATCCAAAAATTAAATGATATTTACAAATCATGTAACACTCATGGTATTGCTCCCATAAAAAAAAGGTAACTCAGCTGTGCATTCAAGTACTTTGTCAGGCAATTCCAAAGAAAAATCTTACTGGACAAGAACTGGATTTTCACCTCATAATCAGTAATTGGAAGATTGCAAGCACGGCAACGAAAACATTCTGGATGCCAAACAGCACCCATGCAACTCAAATATCGCCCATGGCCAATCTCCAACTTGCAGCCAGCACATATCCTACTACAAACAACAATTTTTCAGCAAACCTCATAAGGTTTAATTGGAATCTGTGAAATACAGCTACAGAATTACAAGAAATGCAAGAGTCAACTCTCAAGAGGCTTTGTTTTATGTAACTGTCCAATTTGTAATAATTATAATAAAACTCCAAAAAAAATTCTAATGCACTCTCTGGTTACTGAATAGACGTGTATAGCAAAGATGAATATATATCAACTTATTTTTCTGATGCTCACATAAGTTACCATTTTGTACACTTTGTTTTGATTCATACTAAATAGGTTGAAAAGTCATCAGATGGCTTAATATATCTAATTAAGCATGTGAGCTACAGAGCTAGGCTAGCTCCCATGTAGGAAATCCAAATTCACTAGTTCTTTATCTTTAGAACCATATCGTTCACTATCGAACAACGTCTAATCATTTCCAAACTTATTAAGAACATACAGATAATAGGAATTGGCATATTGCAGTTGTTAGTTTACTCGACTAGATTCAAGAGATAGCAGAGTGACAGCATTCACCTGTACCCAGCTGGCATGAAGAATGGAAAAGGTTGAAATATACTGCCATTATCATACCGAGGAGGAGAACCCATGTTCAAACTTTCTTGAAGAGCCCTTGCAAGTTGTTCATCTTCCTCCAATTGAACTTTAGCACTTTGTTCATCTTCCTCATTTTGAAATTTGGCAGGTTTTTCATCATCGTCTGACTGAACTTTGGCAGATTTCTCATCATCGTCTGACTGAAATCTGGTAGGTTGTTCATCACTGTCTGATTCAACTTTAGCAAATTGTTCATCATCCTCTGATTCAGATTCATCTTCTGAAAAATATATAGGCAAATGGATAATATGTGACTTATAAATCAAACCCAAGACAACGCCCAAAAAATTATGATTATGCCCCTTTAGTGGAGTTATACACAACTTACACTCTATGCTTAATGGAAATTTGTCACAGTTCATTACGGTTTTCAAGAAGCATTTGCACACCTAAAGCATTTTGCACGATATCTCATGTTTAGCACTAGTAGCTAGCTATTAATCCTTGTATGAAAACAGGGGCAATTCCAAGTTATTCAGCAAGTTTATGCACATTGGCGAAACTTACCAACATATGCAAATTACCAATTAGTTTTTGCACATTGGTGAAACTTACCGATTACACTTTTTCCTTTTTGATCTAGTTCGGAAAGGGACAATGCCTTAGCAAATTCTACATCCTCTTCCTGCATTCCAAGTTCCGATTAACAGAGAGTTAGCATACTAGAATAAAACAAAAAATGCTAGCAAGATCAGCATGCACAAACCTTCGGACTTTGAACTATCATGGCTATTTCTATAAATTAACTTTGTGATGGGTAGATATCAATCTAGTGAGCATAAAACTAGTCCACCATGTCATTCAATGTGCAAGAGGAATAAAAGGAATTTTGTAGAAGTCAAAAGAGTAATTACCACTGAATCACGAGGTTTGTCCCATGTTCTATCATGCCCATATTTCCGATGAGAGTGCCCTTTATAGCTAGAACCTTTGAGAATCTTAGTCAGCCAACCCATAACAAGAAATGTTATCTGCCAGTGAGCTGGCAAACTGTTCCTGCACCCAAAATTCTTTCATTTAGGCGATGAGAAATCATAACTTCAAATCTGGGAACAACTTCCTGAGAAGGGCAGCAGTTCAATGGACATGCCGTGTGAACCAAAAATAGACAAACATGAAAGAAAGAGAGATATAAATTGTAGCATGCTGTAATACATTCTCAGAAAGTTCAATACAGCTAGAGGAGAAACAACATAACCATTCAACATACTTGAAACAAATTAATTTACCCTATTCCAATAAACTCAGTCCAATGTGAACAAATTAATTTACCTATATTGACTCAAAAAATTAACAGCAAGAAATAAAGAAAACTCTGTATCACCCACCCCAGATGCAAATATCCCCAAAGAGCTTCTTTTCCCAAAACCCAATATCATGCAGCAACCAATATTTCAATATCATCAGGCCACATATTTATATCAGAACACACTCCAACCACCCACAGCAAAAATAAGGAACAAAAATTAAAGCAGGTGGAGCATTCCAACTTGATGGTTTCTCAATAAGATGTTGAGAGTAAAATGAAGAAAGATAGAGGTAACAACAGCAATATAATAAAGCCTCAGAAACTCTACCTGAAACAGATTAAGAATCTAAAAAGACAGTAGAATATGATGAATCCCAGATCAGATAAAGTTCCCAATTCCCAAGATGCATAGTCACCATAGGAGACTAAGAGGACCCAAAATGATATTCCCCACCATACCCTTCAATAGCTTTCAGCCCTGCAAATCGCTCAACCTTTCTTTGAACAGAGTCATATAACCATTTTAGTAAAAAGATAAAAGAGAAAAAAAGAGACCAAGTGTGATGGGAAGGGTACTTGAATCCTACTCAAAACTCAGGTCCAATTTTCAAAAGGGTAAATAGAAAATTGGAAACAGTTGAAGGCTGAAGCTTTTGGGGGGCTTTGATCAGAGGGTACTTTAATCTCTACCTTTCCTTAAAGCCCACCAAAAAAGACAGATTCTGAAGATAGAAGGAATCAGTACCCAGACCCAATTGTGAAGGTTTAGTATAGAAGAAAATTGAATTGAAGCTCAAAGCTTTGTGCTTTTCTTTCTCCCATGTGGGTCCACTACCAATTCTCCACCACACTCCACTAAATGTCAAAAACCCCATAAACCTTTCTGGTTGACAAAGAGTCAAGAGGGTGATGTTTGATCCTCCATTTGGTCCTCCCAGTGACCCCAGTGGATTGTGAAAGTGAAGTGAAAATATTGTACTCTCTCAATCTTAAGGCTTACCCAAGTGAGCCCCAAAGCCATTGATATTGCTTCTTAAGCTCTTAAACTCCAACTGTGGCTTTTTGCCACATGCTCATCTCATCTGCCTTCCCAA